GACTCACAACTTGCACTTAGACCTATTAAATATAGATTTTAAGATGAGAATTTAACAGAAAATTTTAAGTGCATCATCATTTGCGAAAAAATCACTATGTACAGTATACAAATGCATCAGAAATTCTCCCCAAGATGCATCAATTTTGATTTTATATTATCCTTTAGCTTGATTTTGAAAATGTATTGCCCTCTTTTATAAATGGATTAACTTGATTCAATAATGCACAATGATAGAAAAAAGCAAAGTAAAAAAAGCAAAAAAAAAACAAACAATAATGTACATCCCTATTGAATACCAAATTGTCTCATCAACATTATCATGGCCAACAATTTTCAAGAATATAACAATATAACCACAATCCACAAATGTTTTACTTTCTTTTTTCTATGCCTTGAAATGTGACTGGAGGTGGGGGTCGTGCTCAACGTAAATGCAGTATACAAAGGGGTGGAGTGCAGTACTAGTGTTCTACAATGCTATGTCTATAGAAGAAAATCTTAAAATTTCACAGCACACCAATGCAGACTAGCATAAAAGAAGACATAAAAAGGGGTTTTGAAAAAGGTGGATCATTGTTCTTCTAAACCAATCTAGACCAGCACAAAGGGAGACTCAACAGAGGTGTTAAACTTTGAAATTCATTTGCAAAAAAAACAAAGAAGGAAGCATCCAATTTTCCAATTATATTGGATCTCTAACTCTAACAAATCTATTACTCAATGTGCAACCAATGATAATAATACTGCATCTATGTCCCATTTCGCTCCCTGCACCAACTAAATGGAGTTTTTGCACACTAAATTCCAAATTCATCCAGCAAAAAAACAAAAACAAAAACAAAAAATTCTACGTAAATAAAGACTTACTGCAATTCATTCAACCTAAATGAGCAGAAAATTAACAAGAAGCACAATTCACATGAACAAATGATTTTGAAATTGTGTGCTGTCAAACAAAAAATATCATGTTTAGCAAAAAGAATGAGAAAATTGAAACATGAATCAAAACATAAAGAGTGGAATATAATGCCAAATTAGGAAGTGATTAGAATGTCGAACAAGAAGATTTCTTCCTCCAATGACACACCAAAGCAAAAGGAATAAAATTAAATAATTCAAAAATGTGAATTCATGAGGAGTAAATCTATGATTAGTCGTACCTAAATTAGCAAGAGAATCAGTCGGCCAATTCATCAAACATCATCTATGCTTTTTACATCTTGACTGTCGAACTTCATACAGATCCATGGCCTCGTCTTTATGGACCCATCATGTAATAACTAGAAGAAGAAGAACAAAAA